CCCCCCCCCCAAATCCCTAAAGACATCCAGGCAGTCCTCAGCCTAACAAATCCTTGGTTCACATAAAATACTTGTGACATGCTGTAATTAACTAGTTACTCCTCTCAGAATGAATAATAATGCAATTATTTGCCAAAGGCAGTAAAGAAGGGATAGTTTCTGTTAAAAATGTCTGCCTCCCTCTCATTTCTGTGGGGGGGGGGGGGAACAACAGGAACTCTGGATTAATTTACATACTTATGTAAATTAACTTAGGGTCACCTGCATTATCACCACACTCTATGGTAATTCTGTCACCTTTTTATCAGAGCCTTATATTTTTTAGTAGTTTGAAGTAGCAATACAGTAAGGCACTGCCATGTTTAAATTATATTGGTTCCCCAAAACTGCACCCAAATAGCACAAAATATAAATAATAGCCTGGCAAACATCTTTTCACAGTTGTAGTTCAGTGCCATTGAGACCGCTAAGGGCTAGTGCTGTTTCCTCTGTGCAGACACAAATAAAAGGAGGAAGGTGAACCTTAGTTCTTCAAGGGCCTTCCTCTCCTTCCTTAGAGAATCCATGTGCCAAGTTGCACAAAGTTAGGTGAGAGTTTATATGAACATATGACTGGTTCTCTCTCGTGGGTTAACGTCTAGAACAATGACTGTTTCTTTGACTCCCACCAGCCCATCCTGTCATTCCCTCAGTAATTAATTCAACAAGCACTTATTGAAAACTTGCTATAACACACTGTACTAGGTACCTGGAAATCAATGGGGAAAAAGACATACTGCCCTTGAGGAGGCTGAGGGAAAATAGATACAGACTAGTAAATAGGTGCATGCACAAAGCAGGAAAGGCCACCACAGAGCCCACACACACACATTCCTTCGCTCATAAACACACAAACACCCTCTGCCCCTCCAATATACACTTCTAAAAATTCCAGACTCTTTAAAAGTTCTGAAGCAGAGACTTGGAAAATTGAATGCTAAACCTTTCCAATTTTGTAATTTCAATAGAGTCAGTTTGGGTGTGTGTTTTATGTTAGAGTTTTGTTACGGATGAAATATTCAGAACAATTGATGCCTTACGTTGTAAGATTAGTTACTCCTTCTAACACCAGGTATTAGCTCAGAATGCCTTAAAATGAATATTCACTGATATATGACTATGGTACAAAAAAGCCTTCGATTGCTTGTGAAGACAGAGACTAAAAATCAATGTGATTTAAATTCACAAAATTATGACAGATATTCCAAGAGCAGATATAACTTTTTTCCCAAGTCCTAGTCATCCTAATATCCCTCTAATTAGTTAACAGTAGGAATCTGAGTCTGTCTTATCTTTCATTGTACTGAACAGCAGGGAGCACAGCACAGTCTCTGGCTTCGGACTGTCTGTTTGAAATCCGGCTCTTCGTGTCTACTACGTGTGACTTCTCCAAGCCTCGGTGTTCTCATCTGTAAGGTGGAGGCGTAATAGCCTCACAGAGATAGAAAGGTGAAAGGAGTAATAACATATAAGCATATGTCACTGGGATGGGCACTATCAAGAAGTTGAATCTGTATGAGATCTCAATAAGGACACTTAGTATTTGCCAAGAAAACTAGCTACCCTATGTCTGTTTTCAGGGCAGCATGGTAATGACAATTTATATTAATTTTATCCTTTCTATAAGAAAGGTACTGTATTTATTTATTTATTCTGTTCTTCTACTGACCGTGCAATTATAGAAAGTTTAGTGTATACAAAGTATTAAGTGGGGCAGGAAGCACAAAAATAATTAAGCTACTCACGATAGAGGTCAAGATGAACTGAGAGTTTCAGAACATGACCCAGGAATCCTGCATGATTTTATAACTAATTAACTTAATAAACTTAGATACAAAAATTATAGTAAATAGTGATCATATCCTCAGAGTTTGTTGTTCTTACATGAACATAGAAATGGTAGGTCCTTGGGAAGCCAGGCACAGCATATACTTTTTCCCAAGCTACAAGGTTTTCAAGCCATTTCAGCACATTGAAGTTTCTTCCACTTATTCAAAGAAAAAAATATATATTTTGCACAGACTTCCACTCTCCAATGGTTGATGAAATTCGTAAGCAAAACATTTTTATTATACTCTTGCATTTATTTAAAATATGCAAGGCCACAGAGGAGGAAGGAAAGAGAGGGATATAATAATAGTAGATAACAGAAAAAGGTGAATATAGTCTATGTTTTTGTACTTATATCCCAGCTAAACTGAACCTTACTTTCACCTCAAGGAATCAACGTCTACCTTTCGAGATGAGAAGAAAAATGCTAAACGTCTATACTTTTGTCTTAGCTATTCCCTAAAGACTTGATTTGAGGCAGCAAGAATCAGGAATTCCCAAAGGGAGATCACCCCAGAAGGAGTGAGCAATGCTAGGCAATGAAAGGGAAGCTGTCAGCAGCAGAAAATATGTGAAACTAAAATCGGATCAAACATTAAAAAAAAAAAATAGCCGCTTGAAAAAGGAGAATTTGTATAAGATAACCTGAACAAATTGTGTTAAATTGTTGCTATGGCTTAATTAAGTGAATTTTTCACCAAAATTTTATATCTTGCCAATTCATTTGAACCAAAATTTCTCCTTCCATCTCTATTTTTATTTCACCATTTTGTTATGATATCAAATGGGTTTCTGAACTACCAGTCATTTTTTGGTCAGGATTATGTATGATGCACATCTCTGAATTTTTTTGGACTTAATTTTTAGAAACCTGCAAAATGGTTGATGGCTTACATAATCTACTGATAGAAGAGAGAACACACCTTTCTCTCTGTTCTGCTGCTCACAGATCATTATTTCGGTGTCTTTCATGGAGATGTTCCCAACAGTCAAAATCTAAACTGGCTTGAAGGTAAATGGAACCACTTCTTGAAAAATAAAAATGTCAGTCCCCTCCTCTATTTATTTACTACAAATGGTAAAGGAAAACAAGCTTGATCTACAAAGTCACTTGGCCAGATCTACTGCAAAAAGACCGGAAGTGCTTAAAACATATAGGCCACTCCTGATCTCAGATTTTTGCGATGCCAAACATCAGCCAAGGCAGCAACGTCATGATCCCAGTAGCCGGCATCACTGGCAACAGCCCAGCGAAGGAACACCACTCCTCAGTGACTTGAGCGTTTAGAGATGGTTACCATCTGTCCTAGCTATTTGTTTTTAAATAGGTGAAAGTAAAAATAACCAAGTGTTCCTAAAGCAATCCTCTTGCCAAAAGAAAGTATATTAGCACATTTTCTATCATCTTTTTTTTCAGCAAAGATCTAGATCATTCTGGTCCAGATGGTCTAAAGGACTACACTAGGGAAGCACTGGTGTGTAGACAAACTCTCACTCCCTCAATCAACAAACTGGGCAGTGATTCCCAGGAAGTGAGTCTATGCCAGCCTGGCTGCTTGAGAAGACAGAATTCTAGGCTCTACCCCTCTCTGACCCCCAGCCCGCCTGCCTATTAATCAGCAGTATATTTTAAGGTTTTCCAGTAAATTCGAATACACATTCAATTCTAATCCACATCCCTCTCCATGGCAAGAGGAGAGGGATCATATTTTACTTTAACACACTCATAGGGGGTCCTCATCCACAGTTTACTAGCTCTCTGACCTTATATAATATCACTGGTCTTGTTGTGATGAATAGCTGTTGTGATGAATCAATAAAGCCATGCATGTTAAGAACCGAGCAAGTAGCAAGCTGCTTGTCATTGTTATCAGTACAGTATAGGCCCAGCTCTAAGGAAGTTATACAGAAGTAAAATGCATATTTCACTACTTTGAGAAGCATAAAATCTATCTAGAAATATAACTATTAATAAAAATCTAAAATATGACTTTATATTCTAAGAGAATAAATATTTGCCGACAAACAGAAACAATATTCTGAGTAACAAAGTATACTCTATATTAAAAACAGAAAAATCCTTAAAAATTTGCTTTAAAATATCTAGTTCTTCTCATTCAGATGACCTAATTCTCATGAAGTCACCAAATTTTTATTTATATAAAGAACATACTAAAATCATGAGTAACAATCAACGTACTTAAAACTGAAGTAGAAAGAGTCGGATGTCTGGGGAAGGGACCACAGGATAGCCTCTGAGGGGCTCATGAAACCCCTAAAATATTGTCAGAGTTGTTTATATGAGTATGGGTATTGCTGAGGAGAGATCCACACCTTTCACTTGATTCTCAAGGATTTGGGGACCCCCCTCAATGTTAAGGATGGCTGAAGATTCTAGTTAAGCACATTTTATGTGAATCTCCATGTATGCTGAGGAAATGTAACTTCTGAATACATTCCAAATAGTTTCCTTGTTTATTTTCTGTTAAGTATCTGCATCGGTTTCCTCAGGCTTTCACCATCCAAATATCCTGAGAAAAAACTAACACAGTAAAATTTCATTTAAGGAGATTGTAAAGCAGTTTCATGGCTATTTCAGATTCTGCCGGTGTCAGCATGGAAGTCCGAGTGCATGTTTTAAAAGCCCTACTGACAACTTGGCTGGTGTGGCTCAGTGGACTGAGTGTCATCCCACGGACTGAGAGGTCGGGGTTCAATTCCCAGTTAGGGCACAAGCCCAGGTTGCAGACTAGATCCCCAATGAGGGGTGTGCAGGAGACAGCAGTTTGATGTTTCTCTCTCTCCTTTCCTCTTTCTCTAAAAAAAAAAAAAATCAATGAAAACATATTTTAAAAAAATAAAAGTGCCAATGGCAGAGATTAACTGGAGACTATTTTCTGGGTTTTCCCTTTTTATTTTCTATCCATTGTTCAGTCTTTTTAATTATTTTTGGTTAGTTCTCGGTATCTTTTTATATCAGGTGAAAAAGTGAAGGAACTTCCCTGGAAGACAACAATTCAGTTTTGCCAACTTGCTATTTGCCAACCTAGCAATTGTTCCCCTTTGTGTTTTATTTATAATGTGGTAACAACACTATTGATGTGACATTTTTATTTCTCTCTTTTCTCTAGGTGCGTGTGCAACATTGACTGTTCTCAAACCAACTTCAATCCCCTCTGTGCTTCTGATGGGAAATCTTATGATAATGCATGTCAAATCAAAGAAGCATCGTGTCAGAAACAGGAGAAAATTGAAGTCATGTCGTTGGGTCGATGTCAAGGTAATGTTCATACTAAAATTCATTTCAAAGAATGTTTTTAGTCTTTGTGTGGAAATGAAAAGTGAAGAGAACTTCTTATTAGGCAGCTGTTTCATTTCTGAAAGGCAGTTCTGATTTATAATGGATACTGGGGTTGACGGTAGCATTTGTGTGGGTTATAAGAGTGTGAGGGCCTATCAACAACGGTCCATATCTTTTTTTATATAATGAAACTGTATCTTCACAATGCCATAAACACAAAACCTAATATTCAAAAGTTAACAGACATTCTCCTTACAGAGGAAAACAAGAAAGTCAAAATTATTTTAGCAAGGATTCTAAGGATTTATTAGACAATCTTGAAATAAAAAGTAAATCACACCATTTTTATGTATTGATTCAATAGAAATGTTTCAAGTACATTTTTTTAAGCCAGATGTACCAGAATGTGTTATTTTGTTTCTTGTTCAGAAACATTTTGTTGATTCTTGACTTGTTATGTTTTTACCCAATTTATCTTAGTTATCATTATAACCTTCTCCTCGTCCTAAAATTTAGAAAACTGTTATTCTATTATTCACTCTCAAGCTGAAATTGACATTGTAAATCTGTCTTTGTATAAAGGTTGCTTAGAAGTATAGTTGTAGAAATACCTTAATTTCAATAAAAACACTGTTAGGGGATAATATAAATTTGACATTGAATATTAATAAATAGTTAATTAATCTTTATTGTTAATTTTTTTTAACACAGATAACACAACCACAACTACTAAATCTGAAGATGGACATTATGCAAGAACAGATTATGCAGGTACATAACATTTTCTTCTACTAACTTTAAAATAGTCCAGAGGTTTCATTGTTTACCATTGATCCTGAGTTGAAGTGTGCCAGACTTCTGACATCTGCTAAGTCTTATCTTGCTTCGTTCAGTCTTTCAATAAGCAAGAGTGGATTTTCTGAAGTAAATAAGACACATTTTTTTTTTTTGCCAGAGTTAACTCAATTGTCAAAAATGTCAGTAAGATATAATTAACTTGTTTTGACAGTGCAAGTGGTACAAATGACAAAACATTTATCAAATTAATGGGCATCAGTGGAAATTAATTCAATTTTTGGCAGTATATTGTAATAAATGCAAATGTTCTTGTTTGAATTTTTATAAAAGTCAACAACAAAAATGTTTGCTAGTTTCTAAAAAAGCTAGAAATAAAGGACAGCTATAAATAGTAATACAAGCTGTCTCTGTTTAGATGGAAGTTAAAAAGGTATATATAATTTATTTTTTAAAATAATAAATTGATTTAACCTACTTAGAAACTAAAATGTATTATTTGACACATGCAAAACTTACAAAGCATTTTATGTAAAAATGTAAATTTTATTTAGTAATTGTAGAATATTATTTTGAGGAATATTTCCACCTAATATAATTTTCCTAGGGTATAAAATAATTTATAGGTATGCAGATGGGACTTTAACAGCTCTTTGGGTTTTATACAAATTTCAGGACAAAAATATAAAAATACAATCATTAAAGTTGATTACAGTAAGTGGGCTGTTTTGTGGGGTTTTTTGGTTATTGTTTTTTTTCCATTTAGCTATTAAGCATTTATATCTAGATTTATGGCTAATAATCAAAATGAATTGTTTCTTTTATGATTTGTAAAAGCTTTATTATACCTTATAAGGTTATTGTGAAGAACTGATTAAAGAAACCATTTTCTAATTTGCTTCGAAAACTATACAAAGGCAAAGTGGAGATATATATATATAACTTTATTTTTATTGTTGACACTATTACAGATGTCCCCTTATCTTTCAAAATATGTACTACCACTTATTCTTTTTGAAATTGCATTTCCTTTAACAATATTTCTGATGTTATATTTATATACAAAGTAAATCTTGGTGAAATTGAAAAAAAAAATTGTCATTCAGATGTTTTACTTATAGATCCTTCAGATATCTTAGAATTTAGAAATAATGAGAGGATTTTTTTTAATTTTTAATTTTTATCTTAATGTTTTTGAACACATAAATAAAGCTTTTCACATGGTAGAAGCCTAGAATTATCACGGACAATGATCCAGAGAAAACATCAGTTCTACTATATGTAGTTGTTCCCAAGGTATCCAGGAGAGATGTTAATAGATGAAAAGAACAATTCATGCTCAATACTTTTGAGAAGAGCACAGATAAATAAATAATTTTTTTACCCAGGACTCCTCATAGCTCCTATGTGCAATAATTAAAATTTTTAAGAGATGCGTCTTTTATTATTTGTTTATGTATTCATTTTTGTTGTTGTTGTTATTGTTATGGAGAATTTCTAATCAGCACAAAACACACACAAAGGTAGGCTGGATAGTGTAGTGAACCCACATATACTCGTTGCTCTAACCCAGGGACATCAACCGTGGCTAACTTATCCTTATTCTTACCCTTATCCTTTTCCCCACTTTCAAAATATGTGGAAATATATAATTTCATTCACAAATACTTTAACCTGCATTACCATTATTGATTTTTATTTATCTTTTTATTTTTTTAGAGAAAGAGGAAGGAAGAGAGAGAGATAGAAACATGGACATGGGAGCGAAACATTGTTGGGCTGGCTGCCCCCTGCATGCCCCCTACTGGGGATCAGCCCGGAAACCCTGGCATGTGCCCTGAGCAGGGACCAAACTGGGACCTCTCAGTCCTTGGGTCAACGCTCAATCCACTGAACCACAGCAGCCTGGCTAACCTGTATCTTTAAAAGATCAACCCTTTTTTAGTACAGTGTTATTATTGCACCCAAAATAGTTATGAATACATCTTTATAATACATAGCTTTTATCAAACTTATTTGATGAAGAACACATTTTTTGTGTGTGGCAAGTTTTACAATACTAGTGTTCCCAAGAATGCACTTTAGAATGTGCTGATCTACAGGAAAATATTAAAAGTAATAAAAGATAATAATAGAAAATTAAGTTCTGAAGCTAATAATACATATTTTATATTTTAAATGAAATTAAATTTAAATTCTATAGCTTTATTATATGCAATAATTATATCTTGACAGTGTTATAAGCCACTACCTGGCACATTTAATTTTTCTATAGCCTAAATTTTTTCTAAATTTCATAAGGATTTCATTTGAAGGAGTAGCTTACTAACTGTGCTTAAAATACTTTTATACATATTTTGAAAACAAATTCATTTGGAAAGACATCTTCAAAAATTTAACATTCTATGAATATGTCTTCATTGAACCATCTATCATTGGACTCAAAGGGAAATCAAATCTCTTTCTGAGAATTTCATCTCTAAAACAAAGAACTCTTCATGTTGATTAAGTCAGTACAAAAATGTAGTGTTTTGGGGGGTTAAATTTTATTCTAAAAAAATTCACATTTGAGTTTTGTTTCAAACAATCTCTGATTGTCAGTATCAATGCTTTTAATTGACATTATTTTTAATATATTTTGTATTGTTGACAATATTACTGATGTCCCCCACTTTTCTCCCCTTTACTTCCTCTACCAAGGCCCTACGCCCCCTCAGGCCTTCACCACATGATTGTTGGTTTTCTTATCACTTTATTGAACATGAAAAGAAAAGAAAATTTATTTTTAAATAAATGCAAGTAAAAGTTAGTCAGTGCCTTTCAAAGTCTTTCAGTTTAATATCAGATTTATGTAGTAAATCCCAAAGGAAAACCTTTAAGGCTAAAGTGAAGTTTTAAAACTATATTTGTTGAAATCCACATTTAAGACAGGAATGAAGATAATGTCAACTGAAGCTTACAATTCCTAATTAAATATTGATTGCATACTTAACAATTTTCCTTGAATTTAACTTAGATGTCTTTATCTTTCTTGATAATCTTATTAAAATACAGTGTGTACCCTTTTTTAGACATCATTAAAATAATAGTCATGTTCCTCAACATTTCCAAGCTTCCAACAGTATTAGCATTTTCCTGAATTTTGGAATGCAAACTTCAGAAAATGGAAGGGAACCAACTAGAGACTCAGTATGTCACATTCTCTTCTTTTTTTTCCCCCTTATGCTTCTACTTAAAATGTGAGTGCTCACTTATTCCAAATAATTTTTACTAAAATCGAGAATAAGAGTAAGTTACATAAAGGACTACAATAAGTGACCATGACTTCACAACCCATTAGTAAAAAAAAAAAAACCCCACTGGAGGTTAACTAACTGAGACAGCACTAAAGACAGAACAGCACGTCCTCTGAATTTCTGATTCACATGCTCAGAACTCCCGCAGGAGAGAAAACAGGAACTGTGTGACTCACATTCCTAGAAGTTTGCTATGCTCACAGCTAATTTAATGTCAGTCACGTCCCTGGTTAGACAAAACATTCACGAACTCTCCCACCAGAGGGAAGTACTGATCTTAACACACTCTTTTCCTTATATGTCATTAATACTAGAGGTTAAAAGCCTTTATCTGTACCCCACACATAACTTGCTTCCTTTGAGACTACTTTAAAGCTACTAATACAAGAACATACGTTTCTGATGACAAAAATGGAAATATCCTTTAAAGAAATACTAAATATGCTCTTATTTTCAATATCATGTAAGAGAAAAAGATGCCAGTAGGGACCAGTAGGGGCTGATTTCAAAAAAAAAAAAAAAAAAGCAAACGAAGCGAGCCATGTCTCCAACAAGAACACAGTGGTGGGTTAGAGCCCTGAATTCCATGACCCCCTCATCCCAGGCAGCGCTGCTTTCCAGTTGTGTCTGACTTAGGTCTCTAGCCTACCCTCTCTCCTTTAATGAGACCCAAGGCATTAGTGAGTCCTGAATCAAGAGCTTTGATTGGCCTTGTTTCAGGGCAGAGGGACAGGATCCCTGTGTGATAAGCTAAGCAAGCCACTGAATGCTCTTCTTTTATCAGTCTAAAATTTGGGCTTAGATTTAGGTCTTTCTCTTCACTTGCAGAAAGATTTAGAGAACACAATTTTATAAAATCATAAAGCTAGGGCTTTTAGGGATTTTCACTGTTAATATTAAACTTTCTTTCTGGAAGTTTTAACGTAGCAAATGTTTTGTGTCTCTTGAGATAATATGTGTGTGTGTGTATAGTGTTTGTGTGTATACACACATGATAGATAGATGATAGATAGATACATAGATGATAGATAGAGAGATAGATAGGTAGAAATAGATGAGAGAGAGAGAAAGAGAGAGAGAGAGAAAAATCTAGATAGATAGATATATAAATATCCCCCTGGTGTTTCATAATGAAAAAAAAGTGGTCGACTTTTTTTTTATTATCTGGTATATGTATTTTCTGATTGTGTTGTTTTTCTGCCTAAAAGTCTGGTCATGCTTCAGAAAAAGTGGCTAAATATTTTTCCAGTGCAAATGTACTTAATTTCATAAGTTAGATGGAAAAAAAACATCATGAAGTTAAATTATTTTCTTTTATCCCCTAGAAAATAAAATGTACTTTCTTTCATGACATTCTATATTAGTTTTCAAAAGGATTTTCAGTGACTTATAATTAACACATACTCAGTAAGATCGTTTAAAGAGACACTGAAAACATAAAAACAGAACTGTTGAGGAAAATAAATATATCAACAACATAGACAATTAACAGTTACTGTATTTAGCCCTAAGCTTTCTTGCAGCCAATGGAATGGTTGAATCGATTTACTCAGAAAATATTTGCAGAGTCCCTCTTGAATGCGCTCCATCCACTGTCCTGGGCTTCACAAAGGTGAACTCATCAACTTAGGTCTCTGCTAAAATGGAACTTAAGTTTACATAGTAGAATAAAAATAAATA